AAATAAACAAGAAACCCTAGCAACTAATTAGGGTTTGTCTATCTCTCACTTGCTATATATTTCACGCTCTCTGTGTAAGTCGGTTTCTATCTCTCTTTCTTTCGCCCTTTCTGCCTTTACCCGCAAAAACTCTTCTTGTGTATCTAAAGGAATATCCAATGAAGAATCTTCTTTAAGACGAGCAGCAAACCCTAAAAAAAGAAAAAAGAGGAAAAAAAAAGAACAAATAATTCATCCAATGCATGCAGATATAGTGTATGCATGCATGCAACACATGCATACACATTTAATGAGTGCATATGTCCATATAACGCATGTAAAGGTTATGCATGCACCTAGCTGTTTAATAGGCATTTTAAGGGTTTGTTTCTTGGGGCTTTGCAAGGAGTATAAGGTAAATATAAAGGGAATAAAAAAATAAAATGACTTACTGTCAATAAGCCGATCGCATATCAGCTGTATTTGGGGTTTTCCTTCTGCCGGCAGATTCATCATTTGCTTCTTTACAATCCCGCGTAGCACTGACGCCAGGAGGAGGGAGAAGAGAGGAGCATCGCGAGGTTAATATGCTGCTGGGGGATGGAGAGAAGAAGAAGAAGATCAGGGCGAGACGAAATTCAATTTCTTGTTTTAAAACTTTCAATTCTTCTCTTTAATCTCTTTTTAAATGAAAATGACGACGAGGAAAACAAATATTCAGCTTTACCGCATGTTCAAGTTCAGGAGTCGCACAGGGGGGCCCCTGCATGCAACCAGCCAACTTTTTCCACATTCGGGGCCCTGCGGCAAACAAATAGCAAAAATGAAGATTTAAATTTGTTTTATCCAATAAAAGCGCTTAATTTCATTTTCATAATACACAAATCGGAGAAATTTCTTGCCGATCTGCGCTGTACATACACCTCAAGTTCTGTCACATTGGCGACCGACAATGTCTGAGAAAGGGTATTTCTTGCGATCCATCAATAAATAACCCTTTTTTGTATTGTTTTATTCTTTTTCTGTAAATAATTATTAATTTCCCTTCTTTTGATTCAAGAGTTTCTTCGAGTCATGGTCATTTACCTCTCTTTCTCCCTTGCGATCATGAGCGAGCGCTCTGCAGCTGAAGTTGAATATTGAATATTGAATATATGAATATTTTGTTTGTTATTCACAGAGGCAAAGTAACCTTCAAGATAACCCTCGCCTCCGATAGTAAACAACCATTTAAAGTTCTTTCTGTTCCTGATGCAACTCCTTTCTCCGCAGTCATCAAGTTTGCAGCAGAAGAGGTAAGCGCTTTCTCTCTCCTATTAGTACTATTTACTTTGTTACTGTTTAATTAATACTCTCTCTTAGATTAGCAACTTCATGAATCTTGTTTAATAGTATTAAGGGAAGAAGAATAACAAACAAATGACGAATAAGCAGCAATCTTCTGCTGTCTGCACACACGTAGCAACGCTGCATATATGATGTTTTCTTTCTCTTTATTCGTTTGTTTTTTCTTTACACTGTACACACTCTTATAATGCTGCAGGCTATAGGCAAAGAGTGAATATAATACTCCTCCTTGTGCCCTTTTATCCCTCCCTCTGTCCTTTGTTTGTTTTATGCAGTTATTTAGTTGTTAGTTGCGGTGTATGTACAGCTCACAGTATGATCGATGGTTTGCCTTTTTATTCTGTTTGCCTCTTGAGGTGTATAGGCAGCATTGTGTTATTGTAGGGCTTAGGGTTTAGGGTTTATGTGAGTGTCTATAGATGCATTTATTAATCTTTCTTTTTTCTTACTAACCTTAATGAGGGTTTACCAAGGAGGTGCCTATACACCTGAATAAATATTATTAATATTTGTTGTTTGCTGCAGTTTAAGGTTAATGCTGCTACTTGTGCATGCATTACTAATGACGGCGTGGGGATAAACCCTCAACAAACAGCAGGGTTTATTTTCTTAAAACATGGAGGGGAATTGCGCTTAATTCCTCGAGACAGAGTAGGCTCTAGGGTTTAGGGTTTAGGGTTTAGGGTTTAGGGTTTAGGGTTTGAAGGAAGCTACGCGGTACTACGAGCGGCAGCTCTACAGTTCAAAACATGCAGTCAAGGGTTTAGGGTTTAGGGTTTGCAAACACTGCAACCTAAACCCTTTGGCCGTAGACAGCTCCGCCTTTTACGGGGCTCGATCGATGATTTAGGGTTTAGGGTTTAGGGTTTAGGGTTTTTTTGCCGCCTAAACCCTAAAACTGTTTCTTCGCAAACTTCAAGCGGTTGCTGCAGCAGCAGCAGCAGCAGCAGCAAACTCTCATCTGAGGGTTTAGGGTTTGTGAATAAATTATTAAAAAACAAAAAAAAAACTTATAAGGAGGTTTTTAGTTTATTTTGTTGTAAATTTCTATAGTGGAGCACAATTAGTGTTTAGGGTTTAGGGTTTAGGGTTTAGGGTTTGTGAATTAATGATTATAGGACAAAAAAATACTCCCAAGGAGTTTTGGGGTTTATTTTGTTGCAAATTTTTGTAGTGTAGCACGATTAGGGTTTAGGGTTTAGGGTTTAGGGTTTATTGACTTGTGTTTCTATTTGTAGACAAATATCCCTAACTTCTTCTCTTAGGGTTTGTAGGGTTATATTTTTTTCTTTATTAATTATATTAATCATATTATCTATTTTATTTATTATTTTATTTAATATTTTCTCTATTTTTTCTCCTGATGTTTCTTCTAGTGCTACTTGACGAGGATTCGTTATAGGTAAAGTACCATAATATCTGCTGCTGCTGCTGCTGCTCCCTGCAGCAGCAGCAGCAGCAGCAGAAGCAGCTTTTGCCTTAATTGCTGCAGCAGAAAAAAAGAGAGCACAGAGCACAGCAACAAATACTAAAGCAACATATATAACTATTTATGTTTATATTTATGTTTATATTCATAATTATATTTATATCTATATTTATTAATATTATATTTATATTTATATATTAATACAATAAATATTTTTATATATCTGAGGTGTACGTACACCCCGTTTTTTTGGCTTTCTTACCAAGGATTTCCTGTACATGTTTAGCCACCAAAGTATCTTCTTTTTGTTGTTTTTTTTGACTATTTTCTTCTATTTGTGATGAATAAACATTTAATTGGGCTTGTTGTACATCATTTATGCCTAATAAGTCCATTAAACCCTCTGCTCCTCCTTGCGTAGCACCAATAAACCCTGCATGCGTTTCTCCCCCCGCTTCTTGCGGGGTTTCAAAGGAATTAAAAACACAATCTTCCTCCATTTTAAATATATTTAAATAAAATTAAATAAAAAAAGAAAAAAAGAAAAAACAAAAAAGGAATGCCGTACCAGCGGTGGTGACGCCACGGCAAAAAGAAATAATTGAGGTGTATATACACCTCAATTAATTCGCATTTTTATTTTTTAATTTAATTATTTAAATAAAATAAATAAAAAGAAAATAAAAAGAAAAATAAAAAAAAAGTTAAAAAAATATATTTAGTGATTATAGCTTCATGCTGAAGGAAAAGTATACCACCATCGAAGCCCCGATACGTAAACCCTAAACCCTAAACCCTAAACCCTAAACCCTAAACCCTAGTATGAATTTGCTCAATTTTATAGACATTTAATATAAAAACATTTTCTTTTCTTTATTATTTTTCTTTATTTTTATTTTTTTCTTTCTTTAGTAAAAAAGAATCACTAGCTTATATGGTCAAGGGTTTAGGGTTTAGGGTTTAGGGTTTAGGGTTTAGGGTTTAGGGTTTTTATAGATGTTTGTATGAGATGCTGCTTATCTGTTAGCTGTCTTGCTAAAGGGAAGGCTCTGCTGTGTCTGCGCAGGCTGTCGTTGCTGCTGCTGCTGCTGCTGTTGCTGCTGCTGCTGCGAGAGCAGCAGACACACCTAATCTATTCTCTTTTATTCTTGTGTGCGGTGTTTGTTCTACTGCTACTACTGCTGCTGCTGCAGTTGCTGCTGCTGCAGTTGCTGCTGCTGCAGCAACAGCAGACCTACCATTTAACGAACTGTTGCTGCTTTTGCTGCTGTTGCTGCTGCAGACCCATCATTAAACAAACGACTGTCTGTACAAAAACCCTTGCTGCAGCAGTTTCTGCTGCTGCTGTTGCTGCTGCTGCTGCTGCTGCTACGGCATAAGCAGCGCTTTTGCTGCATATTCTGCAGCAGATGCAGCAGCAAGACCAACAGATACCCATAGAGAAGCAGCAGCAACAGTCAGCAGCGAGGGGGAGCCCCTTACGTATGTACACTGTAGAGCTTCCTTGCTGCTGTTTGCTGCTGCTGCTGCTGCTGTTGCTGCTGCAGAGCCTGCAGCAACAAAAGGTCTCACCAACCTTTGTCTCCCTACAGCAGCAGCAAACTCCCTTAGTCGGGGCTGCATGCAGAGGCGCTGGCCTGCTGCTGCTACTGCTGTTGCTGCTGCTGCAATACCTCGAAGGGAGGCTGCTGCTGCAGCAGCAGCAGCAGCAGCAACTCGTAGCCCTAGCCACGTCGGCCCCACAGAAGCAGCAGCAGCAGCAGATAGTCCTGTTGCTGCCTTGCTGCAGATAGCAGCAGGAGACAGCAGCTGCGTATCTCTTGCTGCAGCAGCAAATGTCTCCACACTTGATAAAACAGCAGCAGCAGCAGCTGCTGCTGCTGCTCCTGTCTGCTGCAGCAGACTGCAGCAGCAACGCAAGAAAGGACGCTGCGGAGGCAATGCAACAGGAAGGCCAAGAAGAATCCTTAGACGGCGTCTTGCTGCTGCTGCTGCTGCTGCTGCAGCTGACTTTGCTGCTGCAGCAGGTTGCTGCAGCAGCAGCGAGAACGCTTTGGAGGGAAATTGAGCTGCTGCTGCAGCAGCAGCAGCTGCTGCTGTCCTTCGAACGGGTATCTGCTGCTGCTGCTGCGGCAGCAGCAGCAGCAGCAGAGATAAAGAAAACATCTCTGCTGCTGTTTTTAATTTCCCTAAGGGAGACACAGCAGCAACATGCTCGCGCTGCTGCTGCTGCAGCTGCTGCCGCAAGGCCTGTACGAATACCTCGCGCAGCAGCAGCAGAGACACCGCAGGCTGCAGCAGCTGTATAAGCCCAATACCCCTCCATGTTCCTGTTGCTGCTGCTGCAGCAGCAGAAGAGGAAGCAGCAGCAGCAGATGGAGGGGCAGGTACACCTGATGCTGCAGCAGCAGCAGCAGCAGCAGATACACCACCAAGTGCAGCAACAACAAGAAGCTTATCTGCTGCTGCATCTAGTGCTGCACCTGCAGGTGTACATACACCCCAACGTCTAGCTAAATATCCATCTAAGAAATCTGTAGCAGCAGCAGCAGCAAATAATATTGCTGCTGCTGAGCTAGGTGCAGCAGCAGCAGCAGCAGCAGGAACAAATAGCTGCACATACACCCCAAATGCAGCAAAGATGCGGCAGCAAGTTAACACCATTGGTGTTATACGTCGTAATCTATCACCTAATCCTGTCTTTGCTGCTGCTGCTGCTGCTGCTGCTGCTGTTGGTTCTGCTGCTGTTGCTGCTGGTGGTGCTGCTCGTACTGCTGTTGGGGGTACCACTACTGCTGTTGCTGCTGCTGCTGGTTCTGCTGCAGCTGCTGCTGGTGGTGCTGCTGCTGCTAGCTGGGGATTGTCGAAGTACAGATCCCGCAGCAGCAGCTTGTCCACTATTTGCTGCTGCTGCTGCTGCTGCTGCTGTTCTTGCTGCTGTTGCTGTTGTTGCTGCTGCTGTCCTTGTGATGCTGCAGCAGCAAACCCCACAGGGGCAGCAGTAGCAGCAGCAGCATTTGCTGCCGATAGATACTCAGCTGCTGCTGCTGTTTCTGCCGCTGCTGCTGCTGTGTCTGCTGTAGTTGTTGCTGCAGTTGCTGCTGCTGCATCCGCTGCTGCTGCATCGCATGTTGCTGCACGTGCAGCATCTGCTGCAGCAGCTGCTGCTGCAGCAGCAGCGTCTGCTGCTGCAGCAGCAGAGAAGGGCTGCTGCAGTGTCACCCCTTCATCAAATGGACTCGACGAATCTGTAAATGCTGCCTGCAGCAGCAACCGGTGCTGCTGCTGCTGCTGCTGCTGCTTCTGTTGCTGCAGCAGCAGCTTAGAGAAGGGTCCTCTCGTTGCTGCCGCAGCAGCAACATTTTGCTGCTGCTGCTGCTGTTGTTGGCGGAAGGGGAAGGTTGCTGCTCCTCCTGCAACAGACGCCCGCGTAAATAGAAGGGGATGACGCAGCAACTGCTGCTGCTGCTGCTGCTGTAGCTGCTGCTGCTGCAGCGGCAGCAACGGCAGCAGCAGATGCTGCTTGCTGCGGTGAACTGTCCTCCCCGATGATGGCTGGACAGCAGCAAGAAAGAGACAAATTAGCAGCAGATATAGCGGAAGACCCTTACATCTGCTGCTGCTGCTGCTGCTGCTGCTGCAGCTGTTGCAGCAGCTGCTGCTGCCGCTGCTGCAGCGTTCCGCCATTCGACTGCCGCCTCTTGCTGCAGACAATAGCTCAAGATTCTACTAGCAGCAGCAGCAGCAGCAGCAGCATCCTGTCTGGGGTCCTGTTGCTGCTGGTGGTCCTGCTGCTGCTGCTGCTGCTGGTCTTGTGGCTGAAGTGTCCGATTTTGTCGTGTCTGCTGCTGCTGCTGCTGTTGCTGCTGCTGCAGCAGCTTCACCACGGAGGAAGCCTCCCACTGGTGTTGCTGCTGCTGCTATTGTTGCTGCTGGTTGCTGCTGTTGCTGCTGCTGCTGCTGCTATCTACACAACAAATTTGCCGGCAAGGAAGCCACAATATATTGGCTTGTGCTGTTATTATTCAATAAAAGTTCAGTAAAATTAATCTGCTGCTGCTGCTGCTGCTGTTGCTGCTGCTGCTGCTGCTGCTAAGCTGCCGGTTGAGAGACAAATATATGCCCACCTCCTGGAGACGACCAAGGGTTTAGGGTTTAGGGTTTAGGGTTTAGGGTTTATACCCATCCCTGAATCCCCAAACCAACATATTTTCTGAATAACACTGAAGTGTGTAGCTGCTGCTGCTTCTGCTGCTGCTGCTGCTGCTGCTGCTGTTTCGGCGGTCGCTGGGAGGCGTCCAGCAGCAGCAGCAGCAGCAGCAGCAGCAGTAGCAGCAGCAGCAGCAGCAGCAGCAGCCCCAGGGTAATAATAATATAAAGGAGTTAGAGTTATAATAAATAGCAATAATAAAACTTATTTCTTTTTATTTTTAATCCGTGGGCTCTCTCCCATCAGGACAGGCAAAAAGGTAAGTAGCTCAAGGGTTTAGGGTTTAGGGTTTAGGGTTTAGGGTTTTGATGGACAGCGGCTGCTGCGCATTGCTGCTGTAGCGAGGATTCGGCTGTCCGGTTGATTTGAGCTGCTGTAAGGGGAACAGCAGCAGCAGCAGAAGAAGAAGTAGCGGAAGCAGGAGCAACAGCAGCAGCAGCAGCAGCCTGAGCAGCAGAAACAGCAGCAGCAGCAACAGCAGCAGCAGCAGCAGGAACAGCAGGGTCAAAGGATATCGGGGATATGCCCACCTGAA